GGTGGGGCGTCCCTCCCGCCCAGCCTCCCGGTGCTGCTGAGCCCCAGAGCCCCTCTCTGGACCTCATTCATTCATTCATTCATTCACTCACTCGTTCACCCCGCGGCTCTCGATCCTCTGCCCAAGGCGACCGGATCGCCCACCTGTGAGGCGCTGGAAGGGAGACCAGGGGCCCTTGATGAGCTGTGGGACCTCGGCCCCACCTTCCTCCAGGCCGGGCAGGGCTGGGGGTGGAGGGCTCATGCGGACAGACTCCGAGCAGGGCACTCTCCCCAGCTGAGGCTCTCAGCTCCAGCCCCACCCTTTCCGACCCCAACAGGGTGGGGAAACTGAGGCCCAGGGCCCGGCCGCCCAGCAGGGCTGGGAGCTGGCTCTGCCCGTCCCGCTCTGGCTGGCGGTGACGGCCCGTGAGAAGGAGCGTCCGCGGGGGGCGGGCAGCGGGCTGGGAACTGGCCGGGGGCCAGGGCGGCGACGGGCAGATACGGAGCAGCTGTGTGGCTCGGGCAGGACTGGGGATGGAAGGGCGGGCAGGATGGAAGGGAGGTGGCGCTCACAGCGTCCCGGCCGGCCGCCCAGCTGCCCACTGCCCACCACCCCCTTCTGCCAGCGTGCGGTCCCCCCAGCTGGAGGGGCGCTCAGGTCCCCTCGCCTGCAGGGGCTCCTGGCTGGGCCTGCGGTGCCCCCTGCACAGGCCGTGTCCTGTCCGAAGTACGGGGCAGGAAGGAGGGGCCCCAGGGCAGAGCGCACACACCAGCCCCACCCCCACCCCCGCTGGGTGACTCACACACGCCGGGGCTGGTAGCACCCACGTGGGGGTGTCTGGGGAGGGCTCTGCCCCGGGGACGGGGGTCCAGGGCACCAGGCGGTCGGGGGGCACGGGGACGGGGGTGGGGTGGGGCTGTGGGTGCAGGTGACACTGGCAGAGACGCATGTGCAAAGGCCGAGAGGACCAGGCAGATCTGCTGGAGAAGGATGGACGGGGCCGGGGCCAGCCGGGTGCCTGGAGCCCCGCCCGCTGCCCCCAGAGAGGCTGCCTCGGGGGCTGGGCCGGGGCGGCAGGAGGCTGTCCGAGCACCCGGACCCCGGTGCAGGGGCTTGCATTTCACTGGATGGCTGTGAGGCAGAGTGCGGGGGCGTGGCGGGCCCAGGTGGCCTCTGCTCTCACCCGCCCATGCCCCCGAGGGCCCCTCTCCCGGAGCCCAGCGCAGGGAACCTGGCCAGAGGAGCCCACATTCTGGCTGGCACCCCCTAGCTCCTGCTGGGCGAGCCTGGGCCAGCGGGGTCCCTCCTGGGGCCTCAGTCAGGGCCCGGCCGTCCTGGTAGAACCACAGGCGATATTCTCAAGCTGCTGCCGCGAGACCAAGAATAACCAGAAAAACAAACAGGAGCCAGTTCCTCTACTACCGGCTATTTTGGCCCTGGCATGGCATCTCGCGGGCACACGGTGCTGCGTGCCCGGGGATCTCCGTGTGCCGACAAACCTCAGGTACGGAGGCCCGGCCCCCAGCCATGCCCACCCCGCTGGCCTGGGAGCCCCCGCCTCTGTGACACACAGGCCGGCGTGCGGCCGCACAGCACCTGGCCCAGCAGAGGCTCCAAGCACTCTTGCCTGGGAAGTGTGTGCACCCATGGCGGAGGCACGGCTTCCCCACACCCACAGAGGACACGCAGGGACAGGAGGGGACGGGGTGGGAAAGGACACACCCTCCCTGCCCACGAGGGGAGGTCAGCACGGCCCCGACCCCCGTGGGGTCTTGGCCTTGTGTTCGCCGGGCACCAGTGAGCTGAGGGGAGACAGCCCCCATTCGTGGGTGTGGCCATCAGGCTGGACAGAGAGGAGCCCCAGGAGGGACCGGGTCCGAGGACTCGGGAAGATGCTCATCCTTCCTCTGTGGGCGGGTCCTGGGTTCGAGCCTTCAGCCAGGCTCTGAGAAGTCCCGCGCCGGCACCTGGGAGGCCCATCAGGGCCCCTCCCAGGGGCGCCCAGAGCCGCCCGCACTGCTGTCAGGACGTGAGCCTGGTGTGGGCGCTGGCGATTCTCACTCCCGCAGCCTCCTCCGGCCGCTGCCAGATCTCATTCATGGGTTTGCCCCCTCATTCACTCACCAGACCCGGTTCCCAGCTTCGCAGGTGAGGCACCGGCTCTGAGACCAGAACCAGACCCGGTGAATGCCTGGTGGGGGCACAGGCCTCCCCGCTGGCCGGCTGCCCTGGCCGCCGCCAGGCCACGCCCAGCACTGTGCTGGGCACCAGACACACGTGGCCCCGCCCAGCTGGCCCGGCGTCAGGGTCTGCTCCACCTTGGCCAGGCCCCGGGCACCGGCCAGGAAGGGAGGGACAGGCCATGCCTTCCCTGGGAAACCCTAGTGACCCCACTTACCAGGTGGGGACCAGGCCTGGGGGGGGGGGGTAAGGGGGGGACAGGGATGGGGACGACCACTCAGCAGAGAGGACGGGAAAGAGATGGTGGGAATGCAGCATCAGAGGTGAGGGCCCAGGCTGAGGCCAGGTCAGGGCTGAGTGTGACCTGGGTCAGAGCTCAGGGTGTGACCAGGGTCAAAGGTCAGAGTGTGACCAGGGTCAGGGCTCAGTGTGACCAGGGTCAGGGTCAGTGTGACCAAGGTCAGGGTCAGTGTGACCAGGCTCAGGGTCAGTGTGACCAGGGTCAGGGTCAGTGTGACCAGGGTCAAGGTCAGTGTGACCAGGCTCAGGGTCAGGGTGACCAGGGTCAGGGTCAGGGTGACCAGGCTCAGGGTCAGGGTGACCAGGGTCAGGGCTCAGTGTGACCAGGGTCAGGGTCAGGGTGACCAGGGTCAGGGTCAGTGTGACCAGGGTCAGGGTCAGGGTGACCAGGGTCAGGGTCAGGGTGACCAGGGTCAGGGTCAGGGTGACCAGGGTCAGGGTCAGGGTGACCAGGGTCAGGGTCAGTGTGACCAGGCCCAGGGCTCAGTGTGACCAGGGTCAGGGTCAGTGTGACCAGGCTCAGGGTCAGTGTGACCAGGGTCAGGGTCAGTGTGACCAGGGTCAAGGTCAGTGTGACCAGGCTCAGGGTCAGTGTGACCAGGGTCAGGGTCAGTGTGACCAGGCTCAGGGTCAGGGTGACCAGGGTCAGGGCTCAGTGTGACCAGGCTCAGGGCTCAGTGTGACCAGGGTCAGGGTCAGGGTGACCAGGGTCAGGGCTCAGGATGTGAGCAGCGTCAGGGCTCAGGATGTGACCAGGGTCAGGCTCAGTGTGACCAGGGTCAGGCTCAGAGTGGCCAGGGTCAGGGCTCAGTGTGACCAGGGTCAGGGTCAGTGTGACCAGGCTCAGGGTCAGGGTGACCAGGGTCAGGGTCAGGGTGACCAGGGTCAGGGCTCAGGATGTGAGCAGCGTCAGGGCTCAGGATGTGACCAGGGTCAGGCTCAGTGTGACCAGGGTCAGGCTCAGTGTGACCAGGGTCAGGGCTCAGTGTGACCAGGGTCAGGGTCAGTGTGACCAGGCTCAGGCTCAGTGTGACCAGGCTCAGGGTCAGTGTGGCCCGGAGCCCTGTGAGCTGGGGATGACTGGTGGGGCCGGGCACAGGCCCGGACAGCACCTGGCCCCTCCCAGCAGCACAGGGACCTCAGCAGGTGCTGACTGCGCCCAGGACGGGCAGCGCTGCTCACCAGGCTCCCTGCAGGCCAGCGAGGGCTCCTCTCCCGGGCGCCGCCGGGCGAGGCATGGCGGAGTCCTCGCTCCGCAGGTGGGCGCTGCCCGAGGGAGCCTGGGCCAGGCACGTGGCAGCGTTGGGCGTCCACAGCGGTGGACTCGCTCCCGTCACGAGGAAAAAGGGGTCTCCCCTCCCCCTGCAGGGCCGCCCCTGGCTGCCCACATGCCGCCCTCCCCCCGCTCTCCCCTTTCCCCTGGAAAAGCCAGAAATGCCCTTATTTGGAGGGCAGCGTGGGGGCAGGGGCCCGTTAACCCTTCCCTTATAAATAGAGGGATAAATCCCAGCAAGTCAAACAGCGCGAAGGAACATAAACAGAGGGGCAGCCCCCGCCCCCGCCCCCACCACCGTGTCCGGCCAGCGGCCTTTATGTAACTCAACCCACTGGGCCCTGCGCCTGGCCCGGCTCCGGCTCCGGCTCCGGCTCCGGCTCCGGCTCCCCCTGGTGAACCGCGCCTGTGCCTCCACCACAACCAGGTGCTGCCTTGCGGGCTGGGAGGGAGCGGGGCGCTGAGGGACTAGCATCCCTGCCCCTTTGGGTGCCCTGCGAGGCCCTCACCCAGGGCGTTGCCCAGGCGCCGCGTTGGGGGCGGCGAGAACAGGTGGGTGGGCTGAGGGCAGGCCGGGCCTCAGGGCGAGGGTCAGCGGGTGGGTGAGCTGGGGGCAGGGGCTCACACTGGTCCCCTGGCCCTGTCCCAGGCCGGGCGCTGCCGTGCTCGGTTCCTCCCCCTCGGCCCCTCCTCCCCCCTGGGACTCGGGCACTGAGCGGCTAAGTGACCCCCAAGACGCCAGCGCCCAGCGTAAGGAGGAGGTGGGTGGGAGCTGGGTCCAAACACCACACGCTGCCCGCCCTCTGAGCCAGGCCACACCGGTCACCTTCGTCTCCGAGGTGCCGCCTGGGCCCCAGAGGGAGGAGCAGGCTCGGAGCACCAGCCTCCTTCCTCTTCCTCCTCCTCCTCCCCCTCTCCTTCCTCTTCTTCTAAAATATGTTTTTATTGATTTCAGAGAGGAAGAGAGAGGGAGAGAGAAGCATCAGTGATGAGAGAGACTCTGTGATCGGCTGCCTCCCGCACGTCCCACACTGGGGATCGAGCCCACAGCCCGGGCCTGTGCCCTTTATTGGAAGTGAACCCGGGACCCTTCCGTCTGCAGGCCGACGCTCTACCCACTGAGCCACACCGGCCGGGGCAGAGCGCCCGTCTCTAGCCAAAGCTCCGCCCGGGCAGGTAGACACGCTGGGTGCTCGGTGAGCAGGCCAGCCTCCGGGGCTCCGGAGCCGCCAGGGTAACCCCCTCTCTCTCTCCTCCCAGGCCCGGAGCGCGCGCTGGCGGCTGCCATGGCCTCCACGTCCCCGGCGGGGCCCAACGCCACGGCGCCCACGGCGGCAGGGGCGGCCTGGGCCAACGGCAGCGCGGCCGGGCGGCCGCTGTTCCACGTGTTCGCGGCGCTGGACGAGGAGCTGCACAGCGCCTTCCCGGGGCTGTGGCTGGCGCTGCTGGCCGTGCACGGCCTGGTGTGCGCCGCGGGGCTGGCGCTCAACGGGCTGGCGCTGTACGTGTTCTGCTGCCGCACGCGCGCCCCCACGCCCTCCGTCACCTACACCGTCAACCTGGTGGTCACCGACCTGCTGGTGGACCTGTCGCTGCCCGCGCGCTTCGCCGTGTTCTACGGCGCCCGCGGCTGCCCGCGCTGCGCCTTCCCGCACGTCTTCGGCTACTTCCTCAACATGCACTGCTCCGCGCTCTTCCTCACCTGCATCTGCGTGGACCGCTACCTGGCCATCGTGCGGCCCGAGGGCGCCCGCCGCTGGCGCCAGCCCGCCTGCGCCCGCGCCGTGTGCGCGCTGGTGTGGCTGGTGGGCGGCGCCGTGACGCTGGCGGTGCTGGGCGTGGCGGCCCGCGGGCCCTGCTGCGGAGTGTTCGCGCTCACCGCGCTGGAGTTCCTGCTGCCGCTGCTGGCCATCAGCGTGTTCACCGGCCGCATCGTGTGCGCGCTGAGCCGGCCGGGGCTGCTGCGCCAGGGCCGCCGGCGCCGCGTGCGAGCCGTGCAGCTGCTGCTCACCGTGCTCGTCATCTTCCTCGTCTGCTTCACGCCCTTCCACGCGCGCCAGGTGGCCGTGGCGCTGTGGCCCGGCATCCCGCGCCACGCCAGCCTCGTGGTCTACCACGTGGCCGTGACCCTCAGCAGCCTCAACAGCTGCATGGACCCCATCGTCTACTGCTTCGTCACCAGCGGCTTCCAGGCCGCCGTGCGCGGCCTCTTCCGCCGGCGCGGCCCCCAGGGCGAGCCCGGAGCCGGCCCGGCCGCCGAGGGCTCCCGGGGCTCCGGCCGCCGCCACATCCTGGGCGCCGGGCCCTGCGCCCTCACCCAGGCCCTGGCCAGCGGGCCCGACGCGTGACGGACGGCCCTGCCAGGAGGCCAGAGGGCAGGGGGTGACCGTGGGCCGTGTCTGTGCAGGGCATGGCCAGGACCCCAGGGCCAGCGGGGCGTGGCCTGCAGCGTGCGTGGGGTGTGGATGTGCCCCGGACACAGGCTCCCGCTGGGTGCTCTGTCCCCAGAGGGGCTTCAGCCAAAGGAACAAAGACTTTTAAAACCGGGGGCTCCAGGGAGAGTGAGGCACTCCGCCTGCAGCCGGGCCGCGGCTCAGTGGTTAGACCGCTGCCACGCATGAAGAGTCTCGGGTTGGACGCCTGGTTCAGGGCATAGACCTGGGTGGCAGGTTCCATCCCCCTGCCCCGTCAGGGTGCGTGCCTGAGGCAACCAACAGATGTGTCCCTCTCACATAGATGTTTCTCCCCCTCCCTTCCACTCTTTTAATGGAAAAAAAGTATATTCTCTGATGAGGATTAAAAAGTAATAGTCAACCCTCCCCAGCCCCACCCCCCTTCTCCATCCCTCCCCCATGGAGGTAGAAGAGCCAGCACAGAAAGGAAGTGGCAGGGGACACAGATTTGCTTACGTGAGTGATGTGAAGGGCCCTGTCTGTGGGACCCCACCCCAGGCGCCCCGGGCGCTGGCTCTGAGCGGGCACTGGGTGACGCCGGAGCCTGCCGCCACCCGGCAGAGCAGAGGCGAGCTCTGGCCTGTGCGGAGCAGAGGGCTACCCAGCAGGTGCGGTCCACGCCGGGAGAGGCCGGGTCCCACTCAGACCCAGCCGTCTCCCCCAGCCCTGCCTCCGTTCAGGCCTCCCACAGCCCAGCCCGGGAGAGGCCCAGAGGCCTCCTGCCCGGAGGCCGGGGGCTCTGGGCCATCCTGCGGGCAAGGAAACAGAGCAACGACACACAGGACGGACGGACACAGGCTCCGGGCGCCTCCCGCACGCCGCCTGCGCGCCCAGGCAGAGGGCGCTGACCAGCTGCCGCCCGGCTCCCCGGCTCCCGCTCTTTCTGGGAGGGAGCCTTTCTCTGGCTTGAGCTTCTTTTTTAAAACGTGTTTTATTGCTTTCAGAGAGGAAGGGAGAGGGAAATGGAAGCATCTGTGATGAGAGAGAACCAATCCCTGACCGACTGCCTCCTGCATGCTCCCCACTGGGGACCGAGCCGGCCGCCCGGGCACGTGTCCTGACTGGAAACTGAACCGTGACCTCCTGGGTCAGAGGTTGTCGCTCAGCCCCTGAGCCCCGCCAGCCGGGCTCTGGCTTGAGCGGCTGACCACCGCCTCCGGCCTGGCCTCCAGGATTGCCTCCGTGTGCCTCTGGCCCCAGGCCTGCAATCCCTCCACCCAACCCGGTTCCCCGGGGACTGCGAAGGCCTCCAGAGGTGGCCGCCTGCCTCCGGGGGCCGGGGCGGGAGCGGGCCCACCTCCTGCCTTTGAGGAGCTGGCCCCATGGTAGACCAGTCTCCCATCTCCGCTCCTCTTCCCGCCTGGCAAGTAGAGGGAAGGGGCTGGAGCCAGGCCCCCGTCCACGGGGCGTGCTCCCTCCTGAGCCCAGGGGCCAGCCGGGGGCCGGGGGGTGAGGTCCCTGCATCGCCCTGCCCTCCTTGCAGCCTCCCTTCCGGATTTTCCGAGAGCGAGTGACGCGAGTGGCATGTGTATTTATATCTGATGTAAACAGTCTCCTCGACGAGAAGTCTTCATCCCAAATTAAACCTGTTTATTCCCTCGTGCCCGGACTCACTGTGGGCAGGGGTCGCCGCGAGCTGAGCAGGCGGCCTGGGCACAGGCCCTGCAGCCACGGCCTGCAGCCACGGCCTGCAGCCACGGCCTGCACAGGCGGCTCCGGGCGAGGCCGGCCGCGGGCTCCTGTGCTGCCTCCCTGGCCCCTGTGAAGGGCGGGGGTGGAGGGGCTGCGGGGGCAGCAGGTGGGCAGGGTGCGGGCAGTCATTGGTGCCAGGACTCAGACGGGCAGATGCTGAGTGTCTGGGGTCTGGGGAGGAGGCAGCCATCAGTGATGAGAGAGACTCCTCACATCACGCACACACGCACACTCAGCCCTGTCCCTGTCACACACACGCACGCACACAGAATGCCTGAGGGCCTTATCACCAAAGGCAGGTCCTGCGGGGAGAGGGAGGGGAGGTCGGCCGGCTCACCCAGGAGAGGGAGGGGCTTGTGGGCTTGCACAGTGGCACCCCGTCCCCCTTCCTCTGAAGCGCCCCATAAGCCTGGGAGGCCAGGACTGTCACCCCCATTTCACAAATGGGGAAACTGAGGCCCCGAGCGTGCGGCTCCCAGTTCCTGCCTCGCACACGGCGGGTCTGCGTCCAGGGCCGGGGAAGTGCGGGGGGGGGGGGGGTACCCGCAGGACAGGCCATCGCTCTGGCTGTCTGGCACCCTCTGCGCCGGCCGGAGGCGGCGGTAAATATTAGGGCCTGTTTGGATTAGGCTCCATTAATAGCAGGAAGTGTCACTGCGGCGCCCGCCCGGCTTCCTGGAGGCGGTGCCTGGGGCAGGAGCCGGCGCCCGCGGAGATGGATGTCCCCCTGCGTCCTGGCTCAGACCCCACACTGCAGCACGCCCCCACGCCCCTCCTCCCACCCTCCCCCGGAGCCACAGGCCAGGCCCCGGGAGGCCCTGAGCAGAGGAGACACCCTGGCCAGTCACGCACATCCTCACGCCCCCGGGTGTCCCAGTTCTCAGGGGAGCAGCGAGGCTCCACGGCCACCTAAAGTCACCTGCAGAGGAACTGGAGTTCCCGGCCCGGCCACACCACCCCTCACCCCTTAAAGAGCCAGGCAGGCGGTGGCCCGGGGCTCGGACAGCGGCTGGTGTCCCAGAGGGAGGGGGCCTAGTGCAGGGAGCAGGGGAGGGGGAGGATGGGCTGGGGACTGAGGAAAGGGGGCCCAGGCCCCTGCAACCAGCCTAGACCCTGTTCTTTCTCTGCGCCCCCCACTTCCACATGACCCCTCCCTGCCCCCCAACTAGCAGTCAGCCCTCTGCTAGCAGCCCCTCCCCGGCCCTGCCCCCAGGCCACACCTGGGGCTCCCACAGGTTGGGGGGGGTCCGTTCCAGTGTGTGTCTTGGTCTTAGCGCCCCCCCCCCCCACCAGGCTGCCACTGAGCAGCTGACCTGGGGCCTCCCAGCTCCACCACCTGCAAGTGGGAGCCGTGGGCCCTGAGGACAGGAGCCCGCTCAGACCAGGGCGGGGGCAGGGGCCGCACGGAGCCCCTCAGCCACCCTCCCCGTCTGTGATCAGGCTGAGAGCACGTGACCCCAGCCTGGGGGGCGGGGGGGCTGGCCGGCTCCCTCTGCCCACCCAGCGGGCTGCACGCCCCTCACCGGCCCAGCGCGGACTTGCTTCTTTCCTGTTTTATTAAATGGGTTGGGGTGACGTTGGTTAACAGCATCACCAGGGTCGGGTGGGTTTCTGTGTTACAGGATCTGTGCATTGCATGTCAAGCCCAGCACCCACTGTCCCACCTCCTCCCGCCTGCACATCAGGACCCTCCTCCACCCCTCCCTCCGGCCGCCGCCCGCAGCCAGGAGGGGGAGAGGCTCTGTGCTCCCTGCCCCTCCTCCCGGGCAGAGAGCTGGCCTCACACAGTGCGGGGTCCCCAGTCACCCCAAGCCAGGGAGGCCTTCCTGGGGTGCCACCTGACAGTGGGGGCTCTAGGGGAGTAGGGGCGGGCGGCCAGAGGCACAGCCAACCTTCCGGGCCCCCTGTGTCCTGGGGAGAGCCCAGGAGATGGCAGCGCCCCCCTCCCCTCCCCTCCCCTCTCCTCCCCTCCTCTCCCGGAGCCTCCCAGGGTCCCGGGCCCCAGCCCTTCACCCGGGCCCCGGACGAGGCACCCGATCCTGGAGCCGCAGGTGTCCAAGCACTGGAGGCCTGGGGACCTGTTGCTGGGGTGAGGCCTGCAGGGTGAGGCCAGTGTAGTGCGTGGGTGCGCCCAGGGGTCTGAGCCCCCCTCTGTCCTGGCCCAGGGAGGGCTGCTGTAGCGCCTGGGACCCGAACCCAGAGGCTCAGGGAGAGGGTGCCACAGCCCGCCGGCGGGCACCGCGGGGACATGCAGGCCTGGGCCACACCAGCCCCTCCGTCTGGAGGGAGGCACGTCCATCCGGGCCTCTCCTCCCACCGGCAGAGGGCGGGAGAGGAGCCACGGGGACCGGAGGACAAATGGTGAGCCTCCATCCTCCTCCGTCAGGGAGGCCATCGGCCCTTCTTCCCGAGGTGGGGCTGTGTGCGTGGAACCGGGGTGTGTGTGTGTGCGTGTGTGTCATTGTGAATGTGTATATGCTGCGTGTGAACGCATGTTTGTGAGCTTACGTGTGAGTGGGTACACATGGAGCTCAGCACCTCAGCAGCAGTGACTGGCCTGAGCTAAGAGAGGAAGCAGGGCTGCCCCCAAAGGACCTGTTCACCCTTCACTTCCTCTCATTCCCTCCAGCCTGGCTCCCCTTCCCCTCAGGAGGCTCCCCGCAGTCCCTCTTCCCCCAGTGCACACGCACGCGCACACATAAACACATGCACGCACACACACACGCGGGGACTGAGGCGCCCCTTTCTGGAGCACCCTCTGGGTTAACCCTCTCGCCCAGCTTCCCCTGAGCCCGCACGCACCCGGCAGGGCAGAGCGAGGGGGTATTCCAGGCGTGGGCTGGGCACAGGGCCCGGTTCTCAGAGCTGCGGTGCGGATGGGCTGGAAGTGCCCGCTGGACACAGGTGTCTGGAGGCCGGAGGCCACCAGGTGGCGCTGCTGTCCCAGGAGAGGCGGCCAGCGTGCCCCCTGGGAGTGACCCTCCTGGTGGCCTCCACCACTGGACCGAGGAGGGGTGGCCTGGGGGCCAGCATCCCGGCAGGTGCCGGGGGGGTGAGGAGGGCAGTTTCCTGGCCCACCCAGGAGAGAGGCGCGAAGGAGGCAAACCCAGTCCCCTCCTCAGGAACCTTCCGGGCCTCTGCTCCCACCGGCAGAGGGCGGGAGAGGAGGCCACGGTGACGGGCCGTCAAATGGTCAGCCGCTCCTCCTGATGTCAGGAACGAGACCTGACATCACTCACTCCCCACCGCGAGTCCAGAGGCTCAGACACCTGCCTGTGCCACCCAGCCTGGCGGAGGGGCCAACAGGCCTCCCGGGCGCCTTCCCAGCCCCACCCGGCACCCTCAGCCAGCCTCGGCCAAGACGCCTCACCTCCCAGCCCTGGGCCGCGCCAGCCACTCCGAGAAATGAATGTTCCCGTCCGCTGACTCAGCTGAGAACACAGAGGCCCTGCCAGCGGCCACCGGCCCGGAGCAGCCTGCGCCCTGTCTCCTGGGGGCAGGGCTCCACCCTGGGCCCTCTGCTCGCCTGCGCATGCCCACCAGGAGGCAGGGACCCCATCTCACCGACAGGAAACCGAGGCTGCAGGGGGAGGGGCCTGCGG